TTGCATCATCAGAAGATAATTAACTTGGTTTCTTACATCAATAGATGTGCAGGACGCACATACGTTAGCGCTACCATTTATGCACTAACTTGTGAGAATCTTCTTGCCTTACGCAGAGTAATGATATATACAATAAATATATAGGTGTGTAAAATAAAATAATTCAGTTAAAATACAAAATATGGATCAACTTGTAATTACGAATGGCTTCGAGGCTCAAATGCCACATATGTTGTGCTTTGTGCACATGGTAGTGCTAACTTATGTGCTTTGTGCACATTTATTGAGCAATTATATTGTGAAAACCAAAATAATTATATTATAACGAATAATACATCAAACAAACAACTATCTCACTATGTTTTTGCTGCTTTTCAATAATTTGGTACCTGATTCTTTCTACCCCATAGGCGGTTTAAAATGGGAGGAACAGGGAGCAAACAGGTCGAATGCCTTATTTTAATAAATATAAATTTTATGGATACATGTTTTTACAGAGATAATTTTGTATATAACCTTGATCTGGTATTTTGTCAAAAATATTTATAAGCAGAATTGGAATAACTATTTATTTAACTTATCTCTTGTAAAATTGCTATTTTTAACTTAATTCACTTTTGTTATTGTTTACACCTTTGCCAGGGTAAAGGTACAGTTGGTCTTTTTTAGCCCACTCACGTGTAAGCTTTTATAAAGGTTATATAAAAAAACTGTTGAATCTAACTTTAAATTAACAATACATGTTATAAAACAAATAACGTATACTTAAAAATGATATGACTGTTTTGTAAACTAAACAACAGTGCTCACGACCAACAAAACTAACAAAGAAAGAAAATACTTTTGTTATGGATTTTCAAACATAGCCGTTTATGTCCCGATAGCAACGTCATAAGGATCAAGGTTATGGGTGGTTATACATGTTTTTCCCTCAACTTTCAAATATTGTTTAAAAATTCTTAACTTTACTTGTTTCTATCCTATTATATAGAGCACATGGGATGATGCGCTTATGAATTCTAAACTCGACGGGGTTAAGAAAACGATGCCCAGAAATCATTAGTCAACGATGGCGCGTTCGACCCCAAAAATAAATTAACCGTTAAAATAAAAAAAAACTCCCCACGTTCGCCCGCATGCAGTTTACGTATTCCTGCGTGCAGCGTCGTCATCGGCTTAAGAACGGCGAGGGGCGACGAGGAGGTACGGGCTGCTTGAAATATTTTCACTATCGATTCACTCTCTCGTGCATCCTGCCTGTGCCCGTTCATAAAAACACAAATTGCCTACATGACATCGCATTCGTGTGGGTTGGGACGATGGGAGCACATTCTCTTTCTTCTCAAAGTTTCTACGACCATTAGTAGAAGAATGGGGAGGAAGAATCAATTTTTTGAATTGAATGGTCGAGATGGAGCGAAAAGCTATTTATTACTTAATCTGATAGAATATACACTTGCAATAGCATTGTATCTCGTAGTAGGAGGAGGCATTTTTTTCTGCATAAATATTACTTACATTATAACAAAAATGAACTAGTAGTGCATGGCACCGTGTCTTAAGGCAAATTGCTGAAAAAAATTATTTATTTCAATTTTTTTTCTTTTTTTTTCAAAACTTTGAAAAAGGAAGATTCAATTTTTAGAATTGAATGGTCGAGATGGAGCGAAAAGCTATTTATTACTTAATCTGATAGAATATACACTTGCAATAGTACGCATTGTATCTCGTAGTAGGAGGATGCATTTTTTTTGCATATTTATCACTTGCTGCATTATAGCAAAAATGAACTAGTAGTGCATGGCGCCGTGACTTAAAGCAAATTGCTGAAAAAAAATTATTTTCTTTCAAAGTTTTCCTTTTTTTGAACTTTGAAAAAATATTTTTGAGAATATTTGAAATTTTGACAAAAAATTGTCATTTTTGAAAAATTTGATTTTTCTTATGTAAGGTTGTCAAATATCTCCCTTCCGCCTTTTTGTATTATAAACCAAGAGCAAAAAAGCGGAAGGGAGATATTTGACAACCTAATATTTTGATTTTTTTTGAAAATGTTGAGCTTTTTTTTAAAGCAATCGTTCTCCGTGGCTGTTTTAATGAAAAAATATCGAAGCGCGTAAGCCCTGCATCGTGGTCTAACCAATAAACATTGGTACGGAACCTATACAAACGTAAACAAAATTTATACTCATTATTAAAATCTCTATAAAATATCTGATAATTTTATGTGCATATGTCTAATGATCATTTTTGACCGCCAAATGGCATTTTTTCTTTTACCTTTTCTACTCGATCTCCAAAACCGCTAGACCTGCCACCCCAAAAATTTAATCATTTCACTTTGTAAATGCAAGTAAAATGTTTTTTGAATTATTGAAATCGGACGCTCCGTTCTCTTATAAACTGAATTGCAATTTATGGCCCTTCGAAACGGCTGGACCTGCCATTTGTATAAAATAGGCCTGCATGTATAAAATAGAGAGAATAGATGAGAGGTTTTAACTTGTAATATGTAAATCATGATAATAAGTGAAATTTTGCAATTGAAAATAAGTTAAAATAATTAAATATTAATTTAAAATTCATAACGACCAACAATAAAAACAGATAATTCTGAATAAAAAATTCGTCAAAAATAGGGTCAGGAAGTGATAGGTAAATTTTTTGTCATTTTCAATTTAACATTAAGAAACTGTATAATCTATATTAATAACCAATCTATATTAAGAAATAGTAGAAAATAGATTTTTTACCTATTGTTTATTTGCTTGTAAACTATGTTTTATTGCTTCAAAATTAATCTTCAAACTGGTAAAATTCTAAGAAAATAGTTATTCTTGAGTATAAAAATTATTTCGACGTGCAGTGTGGTAATTTCTGCATTTTGCGATTGAAAATAATTCTTTCAAATATTTCCAATAAATAATGGTGTTTTTTAAATGGTTGTTGTGATTGATTGCTTTTTGAAGGACCAATTGTAAATACTTTAATTATAACTGTATATATTTATTTGATGTTAATTACAAGTTATAAGTGTATTTACAATAATTTCTATATGTTTTTTGATAACGTATTGATTGATTTGATTTTTTGTATAATTTTCGATTGATGATTTTTTGTTTTTATCAATATAACTCGCACCCTTTGATATGGCGCGAACAAATTGCATAGTTTTAAATAGCATTAAAATTTTTTGATGCTGAACTAAAAGTTTTGGGGTAAAATGTATTCATATTTTGCGCTATTTATATCCATAATAGCAAAATATTATTGTATGCAACGAGTAAGAAATCTTTATCGCTCACAAATTATGTCTAATGTTTTCGTGCAGATATTGCAACAATACGTAATGATATAATCTAATTTTAGATATCTAGTTTAATTATAATATTCTTCATTAGTGATTCTAATTAACATTAATTTTTATTGAATTTCATTATCAAACGCTGTTCACATATTTCCCTATAGCTAAACATTACCTAAACTTAACATTCGAAACAGAAAGATCCTTATATAGCGACTGTTTCTTCGCTCAGGATGCACGCATTATTATTTAATAGCGTTCCTGCTCGCCCCATACTAGTGATTTCACATTGCACGGCAACCCCGCATTGTCCCTGGGGTGTGATAAAGGCAGCGATTCTCAAAGCGCCAAGCTAAACATATACACAAATTTTATAATTTATACATACTCATAATCATTGATAAATGCACATATTTAATAATCAAATACTTCTTCACACACTTTAATTGCATCATAAAATTATTTTGCGGCACTATCTTAGATAATTATTCAAAATTGAACGATAAATTTCAATCGACAATTTAGACATTCTTAATCAATGAACAAATTAATCTTTTTCTTTTATTTATAATTCAATTGCAATAACATAATAAATTCAATTCATTTTTAATGAAGTTAAAATTATTCAGTAAAAAATACACATATGTATTTCTTTCGATTTTCATATTTATAAAATGTTTCATAATGGTCATTTACAATATACTTATCATCATCTGCTGTTAATATAAATTTATTAAACCCAAAACAGTTTGACAATCTCTATGATTTCAAGTATCGATTCCCTGAGGGGTCGGTCCGATGGTCCACCCGTCTCACCCTTAACAATCCACTCTTCATGCAAACCTTTCTTCGAACACGCAAGTTGTAGGGTTCGTCTCATACTGGTTCGACTAGAATTCTTCCTCGCAACGTATTTCAACAAATAAAGATTTTAATATATTTTGTGAAACTTTTTGGTAAATATATAAGTAAAATTAATATTACTAATTATCTATACTTTTTATATATCATATTTAATTAAAATTTAATAGCATTGGCGCCGAATAATTAGGATTTGATGGCTGTGAATTATATATTTTTTTACATTGCATAAATAATATTGTTACAATAATATGTACGGTATATAATTTAAATATTTGTCATAACTAAAATTCTCAAATTTTGTATTTCATATATGTTAAGTATTTATTTATTTCTTACAAGCATTTTTTATTGTGTTTTTATAAGGCCAATTATAATTTACATTTATATTCCTATTTCAGATTTAGATGATCGTTTTCTATGACCGCCCTGCCACCGCAGCGGTCCGCCATGGAGGTGGCACAATCAGGTCCCACACCTCCAAACTCAGCTCACCACATTCAGCCATCACAAGCGACATCATCCTCTAATGCGCCCATAGATTGCTACGAGGATATGTTTAAAGAAATTACTCGCAAACTTTATGGTGAAGAAGGCTTGCCAGACTATCAAGGTGCTGAAAGGGCCTTAACCAGCCTTGTCAGCGCTGACCGCACTTTAACCACTATTGATTACGATGCCGAAGGAAATGCTTTCAAACCAGAAGACCACATCACAGCATTTGGTCTTGCAGCGCTCATGCAAAATGGCTTTCCGCCACCAGGAATTCTGAATGCAAATTTTACCCCAAAATTGACTACAGTTGCAACTAATGCTGCGAATGCAGAAGATAAATGGACTGCCAGCGAAGATTTTCTTCCTTGGACGACGAGCAGAATTGCAAGCTATAATCCTGCACAAAAGCTGTTTCGTTGTGCAGAATGTGAGTGTGTTGGATTTTTAGGTAGAGTAGCAGAACACTGGATGGGCGCTCATGGTTCTTTGAGGCCTTTCCAATGTCCACAATGCCCTTACGCTAGCGCATGGGCTCGGTGTGCGAAAATACATTTGACTAGAGAGCACAACGTGCCTGATGCTTCTGCAGATGCTGTGTTCAAAGATAATCCAGTTCTTGATGAAGTTACCAGATACTTACAAAGACTGAAAACAAAAGTAGAAACGCCAGGGTTGGTAAATAGACAAATTCAGCCTACGAATAACACTCAGGCAACAGCAGTCGCGGTTGCCAACCCACCTACCGCTAACGCTGATAACACTGATGGAGATTCAGCTAGTGCGGCTACTGCGGCTGTTGTTACGAAACGTTATAATTGCGGATTTTGCCCTTACGCAACTGATAGAAGAGATTTATACACGCGCCACGAGAATATTCATCGTGAAGAGAAGCCTTTCCAGTGCTACGTTTGCCAAAAACAGTTCAATCGCGCAGATCATGTCAAGAAACATTTTTTGCGAATGCATCGTGAGCATCCTTACGATTTGAATAGGATCAGGAAGCAAACCAATGCTACCAAATCGCCTGTATATTCATATCCAAAATTCGGAGAAGGCGGTGCACAAGTCAATAACTTTCAAAACCAGCCAGGTACCGCTGCTGCAGGTAATCAGCAACAAGCAACGCAGAGGACGCCAAAAGTGGAGAACAAACCAGGCACAAAAACTTCACCAGAAAAGCCAGGATCTAAGAAGAAAGGAGAAAAACGTTATGCGTGTTGTTATTGTTCCTGGGCAGGCGTTGATAACTGGTGCTTGAAGCGACATTTAAATACACATTTAAAACCTTTCGTCTGCGCTCTTTGCGATTACAAAGCAGCTAGATCGGAACGACTAGCTACTCATGTTTTGAAAGTACATAATAAAAAAGCATGTAGTAAATGCAGCTTTTTAGCAGAGGATCAGGCGCAACTAGTCATACATCAGCAGGAACAACAGTAAGTAGTTTGAGACAGATTCAAAATTATTTAGGCTTAAGGCATTTTGGGGAGAGACTTTAATAATAATACTCTTAATAATAATGCTTGAATAAAATTCATTCATGTATACAATGATATCATTTTTTAGTTATGATCATGGGGTTTAATAACAATGCTAAAAATGGCATGAACCACTAATATCATTTAACAATATTATAATTCTAACAATATTATAATTCTAGTAGGGATTCCAACTGGTGTAATTTCTAATGCAATTACATTCATGTGAAATACAGATTATTTTTTTAATCTTTAATAACGTGATAAAAACAATATTTTTGAATACTACAAATAGTTCTCAGAGTATTGTTTGTATTTGTTTACTAACTAGTTTACTGCGTGACGTTTGTTTGTAATATTTCTAGAGAACGCCCGTTATCAAATATTCAGCGTTGGTTGTTGTTGATAAATTGCATTCGATATCACCACTAGGAATCTATAACTTTTCAAACATATGTCACTAACAAAACAACTAATACAACTAACTTCCATTACTAACACGAATTAATTTAGCGCTCTGGATACGCGACAGTCTCGCTCTTCGAACAACGGAAATAACAACGCCGGCGCATCCGGCAACGGAGGCATCTTGCGCACATTGGCGCCGTTCGCCGGAGGGGGCTCGGTGCTAGCGCCCCAGGGCGGCGGGGGCGCGCCACTGCATGGCACCAACGCGCCCGCCACTGTCACGCCGTTTGGGTAAAGGAAATAATAAGCGGCAACAGGAGATCTGGCGAACATTTTAAAATGCAATCCAAAATAGTTAATATTCTTTACAAATAACACTTACAAGATCTTTTCCGACTATTTTTTATGAATATATTTCACTCAGTTTGTAATTTAACGAAAAATTGCTTTAAAATGTGCGTTAGCTCTCTGTTTGTGACGTGTCGTATGCTTTTCTTAAAGTTTTTGTCGCAAACATTGGATAAGAATATATATATTCTGAATTTTTGTATTCATTCAAATAATTTTAAATTTGCCTAAATAATAATTGAAATATAGTTTATCCCACCATATAGTGGGGTATATATATTCTCATCCAAATATTCGTTTTAATAGGTTTTATGAAATATGCATGCATATCACTTTATTGGTTTGTTTAATTTATGAATGTTAGTGTTCATGTATTGTTTTGTTTGTAGTATTAACACATTTGTAAATTTATCTTAATTTTGTTTCAATTATGTATACTTTAACACTTTCGCTACGGACATGACGTGCTGTGTGTACGCATGTCGTCCCTGGACGACATTATGTTTACCTTTGCTTCAAGATTTGATACTATGAGTTAAAGTATTGAAAATCTTAGTTTCTTATTGTATTTCTATTTCATTAGAAACTTAATTTCTCATTTTTTAAGACATTTTTATTGACAATGATAGAAATAACTTAGATATGTAGTTCAGTAGTGCAACTAAGCGGCACGTTGTTCCCGTACAGCAGCGACACTCTTGAGGAAAGTACTCCCGTAGCGAAAAGGTTAAACATGTGAATTTTTTTTAGATACTCTAAGGCGATAGTTTTTATGGTAAAGCTAATGTTTGTAGTTTAATTTAGGTCCAAGTATTGACTCATTAATGAATCGAGTTATGTTCGTTTCTAGTCATTAGTTGCTTATTTTCTGCAGTGATTTCAGTGTTTTCATGTACTTTTACGTACCTCATCATTACTACATATTTATTCATATTTCCAGTTCTATCGTTGCGAACGTCCGGCCAAATCTAAACGAACAATCTCACCAGCAACAACAGCAACAGCAACAACAGCAGCAACAGCAGCAGCAGTGGCGCCCTCCAAAACAAGGCGCAGAGCGGTTGTTCCACTATATGGAAGCATCAGATGGTTCTGATCCTGACGATCAACAACATTACACAACTAGTCGACTTCAACCTATGATGCAGACCATCAGCCAGGATTTTCATAAGGCGGGAGGTAATAAAATAAATGTCAATAAGGTGGCAATCATGGTTGGACATAGACATAGAATTATAAGCTTTGAGTTTGATTTGAAACGATTGTCGAATTTCATATAGAATAATTCTGTTGAAACAGTAAGTAGTTTACGTTGTAACAACTAGTACCTACTTACAGAAGAAATTTATTCTTATTGATACAGTCGATGAACCACAGTATTATACTAGACTGGGTTAATATCAATCTATTAATAATGAAGTGTGAAATATGGTATAGCTAGTAGGAGTATAATAAATAGATTGCATGACTAGTGCAATCGAACGTGCTGAGAAAGAGACATGGTGCGATTTGAAACAGTTTATCTTGTCGATTATTCACAATACCAACATAAGTTTTGTTACTGAAATTTAAAATTTAATTTATTTTTTAGGTATGCAATGGATGACATCGAAGTACAACAATAACAACTACAACAGCGGCGCGTACGGTATATCTCCCGGTAAACGACAGCGTAACAATAGTGAAAATAAAGTCGGCAACAAAGAAAATATAAACGATGCCACGTTTACAACGATTTTAATTGGAGCTTCTACAATAACACAGCCGTTCTATGAACCTCCAGATAAAATCACAAAAATCGCAACTACCCCTATATTTAAAACTGGTGATGAAAACGATCGATCACCTGTTAAATCTCCAGAGGTGTTGAATTTGAAAATCAATCGCGAAGATGAAACTATGATTCAGGATGAAGTGGAAAGTGATTTAGTTGCAGATGAAGAAAGCCGCCAAGAAATAAGTTCGAATAAGTTAGAAAAAACTGACAATAAGAGAAGTCGAAAACAAAAGCAGCCTTGCAAAGTTGCCCATAAAGTAACACTAACTTCAATTCGAGACGAATTCTTAACAAAACATATTTCTAGAAAATCTTTAGTTTGTACTTTGTGTCCAAAGAGTGATTATGCTTATCATACCAAATTGTCACTGGAGATTCATATGAGTTTAAGGCATAGTAGTGCAATCATTCCATGCTCGTATTGTTTGAAGGAATTTGATTACGATCATCTAATTAAATCACATAAGAGGAATTGCAAAGACCTACATAGTGCTAAAACAAATAACAGTGCCTCAGTTACAAGACCAAAAACCACAATAGACCAGAATGTACCTGATTTCTGATTAAATTTTGCATTTTTATTAAATATATACGAGTCTTTTCCTATATATATTTATTTTAGTCAAGTGATAAATTTGCATTTTAATGCAAATAATGAAAAGAATGATTGATTATCTACGAAATCACAAATGATATCCCGTTATGTTAGCTTATATGTTAAATTAATTTGTTAAACTAATAAAATAAATTAGTTATGTTAATGAAAATGTATAGAAAAATGAATATTTATTTCAAAATTATACAATTGAATGTTGCTATGTTTCATATAAATTAATATTATCATAAAATTTTGAATTTAAAACATAACATTATGAATTATACATTTATCAATATTGTATAGTTTTGTTTGATCAAAACTATAAAATTTTGATTACAGCATATATTTAAGTAGATATAATTTTCTTTATGGAGTGTACATTAAATGTAGCAATATTATCAATAAAATATGAACAGAATTAAATCTTATAGTCAATTATTTATGTAGTGATAATTTACGTGAGTTTCAATTCTCATTGCATAATGTAATTTAATAAAATTTGAATATTTGTCCCTAAATTTATTTATGCATTATATAAGAAAATAATCTTATATTGGCAATGTTTTATTATTTACAATAATCTTATTTTAGTGTAGCCAATGAATGCAAATCATGAATATTTTTAAAATACTCGATCAAAAGCTTCGATTTTAAAACAAATATTTATATTACCTGAAATTCAAAATCATGTGACACTTGATGAATGCAATTATACAGATATAAATTTTCATTTGTTTTTTTTTGTGCTATAAATTTTTCATATATTTTTTTTTAACTTTATTTTCAATATTGTTCGTGGAATTTTTTATTACAATAAATTCGAATAGTGTATCCAGTGAGTATACTTTCTTTTATCGATGGTTTAAAGAAAACTTCACTGAATCTGACCATTGAAGCTGATTAGTAAAATTTCTATGACTTGTTGCTATCCCTGGTTTTCTCTACCTCAGCGTCGATGATTGGACGATGATTTCGCCTTGAATACAGATTATGAACATTCGGTACGAAAAAAGCATAAAAAATTGGTATTCAGACATTTTTAATTAAAATAAATAAACCAAACATGACAGGTGCACCAGATTGTAGCGTGAATGTTGGTGAGAAGCTGAATTGTCCAGTCAGCGATTGCTAGAATCAGGTAAAACAAAATTGATCCTGTATATAATGCATGCTGAGTTCAATTCCACAGAATTTCAACCGTCTTTCAATATTGAATAGTTTAAAATTTGATGATTATATAAAATCAAATTCAATTTCAACGCCAAATAAGTTTAACGAATGCAATATTTAATGTTGAACCACAAAATTTGTAGCTGCGGGACGCACTTTACGGGGTCTCCTAAAGTTTATAATAAGTTAAAATTTGTGTAATTTGTCACATTTTCATCTAATAATTGAATATGAAGATTTAATGATGCTGCTCATATTTTATTAATAATATTGCTACAATTAGGAGGTTTTTCTTCCGTAGACTAATGTTATGGCAAGGCTGTGTTATGTAGTAGTTTTCATATAAAGTGGTACTAAAAACTGGCAATCTTATTTTTATATATATTTTGCTTTTATCTATGGTTTAAAGGTAACTTCACTTGTATGTATCTGATCATTGAGCTGATTGGTATCACTTGTTGCTATCCATGGCTTTCTCTACTTCAGCGTCGATGATTGGACATAGATTTCACCTTGAACACTGATACTGACTATTCGGTACGGAAAAAGCATAGAAAATCGGCATTCAGACATTTTTAATTAAAATAAATAAATCAAATATGACAGGTGGACCAGATTGCAGCGTGAATATTGGTGAGAAGCTGAATTGACCAGTCAGCTATTACTAGAATCAGGTAAAACAAAATTGATCCTGTATATAATGCATGCTGAGTTCAATTCCACAGAATTTAAACCGTCTTTCAATATTGAATAGTTTCAAGTTTGATGATTATTGAAAATCAAATTTAATTTCAACGCCTTTCTCTACATCAGCGTCGATGATTGGACGATGATTTTGTATTGAATACTGATACTGAACATTCGGTACAAAAAAACATAAAAAATCGGTATTCAGACTAGATTGCAGCGTGAATATTGGTGAGAAGCTTAATTGACCAGTCAGCTATTGCTAGAATCAGGTAAAACAAAATTGATCTTATGCTTCTTGATAGTGAATATGTGAAAATGTCTATCTATTTTTTGTGCGATCAGGCATATTTTACATATAAACAAGCAAGGAAGAATCTTATGATAACTGCACCATCTAGAATTCTGTTATCATAACATTCATCCTTGCTTATAGACATTCTCAAATATTCACTAACAAGAAACAAGAATAAGATAACGGTATTTTATAAGGCAGAATTGCCCCCTATATCTACTTAAATATATGCTGTAATTAAAATTTTATCTCGTCGCATCCAATTTATTCATATACATATTCATTTAACAACAACTTGGCTCATATAAGTTCGTATAAGTTAACGTTTTCTGATAAAGGGGTTCTCAAGACCCTTATTCACATCTACGCGTAGAATAGCGCTTCTATTGGTTATAACTCGAGTACCACTCGATTAGTACTAATCGAGTACCTGGGGCGCATGGCATCGTGCCTTAAGGCAAATTGCTGGAACTTCCCGTACAAAAACTTATTTTTTTTTTTTTAAATTAACATTTTTGAAAAAATTTTAATTTGAAAAAATTAGATTTAGGAGAAACTATAAATTTTTGACAAAAATTTCCTTTTTTTGAAAAAAAATGTTTTCTTTATTTTGAAATATTTTGGTATTTCTGAATTTTTTTTCAAGGCAATCGTACTGCTTTAACTTGCATAGAGACGAAATATTGAAACGCGTTTTGTTTAGAAACCCCTGAAACGTAAAGATATATAAAAGTTTTCATTTTCGATTTTTTTGCGATTAGGGGGCGTCCATTAATCACGTTTTTAGGGGGAGGGGGGGTTAACAAAAAATCACAAAAAATTATGTGAAGAGGGAGGGGTATACCTAGATAAATAAGGGGTATAGTAAAAGATCACGTGTTATTACTTTTTAACTAATTTTTTAAAAAAATTCAAACATTTTCAAAAACAAAATCAAAAATTTTACAGTTTTATCACGTAACCAAAAATACACGTGATGTTTGGTAGGGGAGGGGGGGGCGGCAATTTTGAATATCATCATGTATTATCAAGGGGGAGGGGGGGGTTCAAAAATCATTAAAAATTTGCTCACGTGATTAATGGACGCCCCCTTACTATAACTTCCCGTACGAGAAGTTAATAATCCTTTTTTTTTTACAGATTTGTAACTTTTAACTTCAACTAATTTAATTTAAAATTCTTTCATTACAAGTATAAAGCGATCAAAATACCATATGTAAACTTATTTAACAGATATAAGGTTGTCAAATATCTCCCTTCCGCCTTTTTGTATTATAAACCAAGAGCAAAAAAGCGGAAGGGAGATATTTGACAACCTAATATAATGTTTTGCTAAAGTTAGTTTTGATATATGAAAAATGTCAGGTTTTCGCGAGCCAATGAAATTTGATTAAAAAATAAACAAATTTTTTCAACAGCGTTCGGTTGATATCAATTGTTTTGATTTGGGTATAAATTGTTTACTCGTGTGCATTCCAAAGCAAACGCTTATCTTGATTTTGTTTTTCTTTTTTATTTCGCATTCGGTGTGTTCATTTTGATTGGTTTAAAATTTGCTCATAACGCGTAGTGCCCTCCGCCGGGTGCCGTCAAAATTGTTGTGGAACAACGTGTTTTAGCTGAAGGAATAACTAACCTCAAAAGTAGTGGTTAAACTCGACTTCTGTCTTCAAAATTTCAGGTTGAAGATTTTCGACTGCAAATAATTCTGGTTTTAAGTAATGTAACATAATGGCCCCGAATGGTACTCTGAAACGTAAAGGAAGCAAGGATGTACCGAAACGATATGATGAAGACGTCGCTAGCATTTCGAAAACTAATGGACTTGAGGTAAATAGCGATTTTGATTGCAATTTTATATCTCTTGATGTATGCTAAATATGTTTATTTTCTAATTAATATATGAACCTTTGGTGCTATTATTTCCATAATTTTGTTTTACTCTGACAGCTTTAAGGTCTGTTCTTCACGAAAATGTTTGATGCACCAAAATGTCTTAAATTTCTGTCAGATGCATCAAAATGAGTTACACACGTTTTTACCACCTAGGAATAAAACAATTACTTTATAATTTTCCACTTTGATTTAATGACAAGTACTCTATCATTTAGTATCGACAAAATATGATAGGTCATCAATTATGTACTTAGCGATAGTGTTGTCTTAACATTTTTGTATTAGAAACATTGATTAATCATTTTAAATATTATTACATATTTGTTGAAGAAACTTAAATTTTATTGTTCTTATATTGAATTTGAGGTTGTCGAAATATTAGTGATAAATGAAAATGTTATAAGACTTTAACCATGTTATATTTTCCCTCAGTTGATAGATCAAATCCAATATTAAGATTAAAATTAGGAATTTCTCGATTTCTAATATGTGGTTTATTTTTCAGAATGGATTGGAGCTCACGGACATGGTGATAGTGGACAGTTCAGGTTCTGAAGAATCTGATAATGCAGATTCTGAGTGCAGCACTGAATTCATGGATGGGGAAGAAAGTGACGATGACGTGGAAGGCGAGAACACAGAGGACGAAGGTGATACTGACGACGATCATTTTGATGAAGGTCAGCTTGATGCCGAAGAATACTCAGCCGACGAGGACTTAGATCATCAGTGTGATGGCAACGAGGATTTCGAAGACTGTGGGGATGAAATGGAGGAGGGACCAGAATATGATGATTCTGACTTATCTAGTGCAATGGACCCTGCTACAGATGACTCGAAAAATATTGATGACAATTCTGATGAGAGTGAGGTTTCAGTTGATATACCAAAGTCGAAAGACTATCAGAAAATAAAAAAATTAGCTAGGTCTAAACTCATTGACACAGTTAGTACCAATAGTGATGGAAAAAGTGTGGTGTCTAAAGATGAATATAAACATGATTCGTCGGATGAAGAGGTAATACAAAGCGTTGTAAATCAATA